CCCTCCTCCCTTCAGACCCGGGATCCAGACCCCCAGCCCCTCCTCCCTCAGACCCAGGAGGCCAGGCCCCCAGCCCCTCCTCCCTCAGACCCAGGAGGCCAGGTCCCAGACCCTCCTCCCTCAGACCCAGGAAGCCAGGCCCCCAGCCCCTCCTCCCTCAGACCCAGGGGTCCAGGCCCCCAGCCCCTCCTCCTTCAGACCCAGGGGTCCAGGTAAGAACCCCCTTTCCCTGGGGGAACCTGGAAAACTGAGCCACTCAGGTTTTTCTTTCTTTGGGCACCTATGCCCTTAGCCCCCCATTTCCCCTCTTTCTTAGCCACCCAGCAGCCCTCTTCAAACTGCGACACACATCCTGGGACTGTGGGGACCTCAGGGAGCTTCCTGCATCCTGAGGGGTGGACTGACACCCCCATCACCGCCCTTGCCTCAGGGGACACACACACCCCCCATCCCCGTCTTGGTTCCTGAGAACACCTAGCTCAGGACCTAGGGCTTGTCTGTAGCCCCCTCCTTTGAACTCTGTGGAAGGGGCTCCCGAGTGACAGGAGTAGCTGAAGTTTGGGGTCTGGAGCCCAGAACAAAACAAGGAGTAGACCAGAAGCTCTCAACCATGTCCGGTAAATACATTGTAAGGTCTCCTTAAATTCATCCTGAAATGAGAGCTGTAGGCTACACTATTTACCTATCATACGTTTTTAAATCACTCTAATACCGAAACTGTTATAAGGAAGTGATCAAAAGAATGGCCTTCATAATAACACTATCTGTGTTTCAAATGAAAATGCCAAAGCACAATTACGACTATTCTGACTTGCGCAATTGGCTATTAAGACATTTGCGCCTTGGGGGGCGCCCCGGCGGGGGGAGGGGGGGCTCAGTCGGTTACACAACGAACTTCGGCTCAGGTCGTGACCTCATGGTTCTCTAATTCAAGCCCCGATCGCTGTGCTGACAGCAGAGAGCCCGCTTCGGGTCCTCTGTGCCCCCTCTCTCTGCCCCTCCGCTGCTCACGCTCTCCCTTTCTCAAAAATAACTACGCATGTAAAAGAATACAAACTAATAATAATTGACATGCACTTGAGTGCCAGCTGTATGCCAGGTGTCGCTGGGCACTTTCTGAGCTCAAAAGACACGGAAGAACCTTTGCTTCCCCTCTGAGACAGGGCTGTACTTATCTTGCACTTATGTCCATTTCACAGTTGAAGAAACTGAGACTTGAGGGGGACGGAAAAAGGAACCTCCCCAAAATGACACAGCTTAGGGTCAGATCGACCCTTGGCTTCTCCCCACGTCCTGACCAGTACCCCAGGGAGGCAGCTGGGAGAAGACACAGGGGTCCCCGACCCTGGGCTGCTAGAAATAAAGCTCCAAGCGTGACCTGCTCCAAGACCACGGTCAATGCCGTCAGCGCTGCTGGGCTATAACAGGTGTCAGGAATCCTGCAGGCCTGGCTCGAGGCCGGACAGGGCCAGGCTGCTCCTTTGGCCCCAGTGGGCTGCGAGTGGAGGCTGGGATCTGTCGGCCGGAGGATGACTTGGCCAGTGGGCAGACCCTCACTTTCCTTCACAGATGAGGAGACCGAGGTGCACAGAGGGGACCATGATAGGCCATTACCCTGCACTGATGCGGTATAGAGCCTGGGGGCCTGGCCCCTGTGGGTGGTCCCCCACGGGGGATGCAGGTGCCAGTGCGAGCCCCAAGGTCCCGCCCAGGCCCTCAGAGCCCATCCTTGCAGGCGACAGCTGGCCAAGCTGGCCCTCGTCTTCAGCTACATGCATGCGGAGCTGAGCGGACTCTTCCCCGGGGGAAAGTATTGCGGACACACGTACCGGCTCACCACCGACCTGGCCCATACCTTCTGGAGGGAGTACTGCGGAGCCCGGTGAGTGAGCACCTGTCCCCAGGACCCCCAAGTTCCTGGAGCCTCGTCCTGTCCCTACCAAGGGACCCAAGAGTCCAGGCCCCCAGCCCCTCCTCCCTCAGACCCAGGGGTCCTGCCCCCAGCCCCTCCTCTCTCAAGGCCCTCCCATGCTAGGTTCCCAAAAGCCTCAGCTGCTACCCCTCCTCTCCCCCCTTCCCAGGTGTGTGCTGACCTGGGCTGAGTTTGAGTCCATCCTGTGCACCTGCCACCCAATGGAATCAGGCTCCACGGCCCTGGCCTTACGCTCCACCGTCAACCTCACCTGCAGCGGCCACGTGTCCATCTTTGAATTTGACATCTTCACCAGGCTCTTCGAGGTCAGGGAGGGCCGAGGCTGGAAGCCCAGACTCTTGCGTCCCGGGGGAAGGAGCGGTCGGGAACATGGATCTGAGGGAAGAGGGGGCTGGGCTCCCAGATTCCTGGTTCCTGGGGAAGGGGGTTGGGCTCTTCTGTACAGGAGGTTCCTGAGCCCCTCCCCGAGGCGGAAGCCCCGTGGCTGGGTTCCGAGGCCCTGGGAGGCACTGGGTGTGGGCTGCCTGCCCCGCCCCCCGTGACCCCAGCACCACCCCGCTCCAGCCGTGGCCAACGCTCCTGAGGAACTGGCAGCTCCTGGCAGTCAACCACCCGGGCTACATGGCCTTCCTCACGTACGAGGAGGTCCAGGCACGTCTGCAGGCCTGCAGGGACAAGCCAGGCAGGTAAAAGGGCCCGGCCTCGGGGGGAGGAGGCTGCTGGGGCCCCCAGGGTCTGCACAGTGGGCTGGGACAGAGTGGGAGCCCAGACACCCTTGGGAGAAAGTCCGAGCTCGTGCTCTACTATCTAGTAAGTATCCCTAATATGACCCCCCGCAGCTGCTGGGGTGGGAGACGGGGAACCAGACACCCGGGTCCTTAAATTATTTCAGCCCTGGAGTTTTTAGCTATTGGGTCCTTCCAGAGGGCGAAGGGTTGAGGGGCTGAACTGCTTGGAACACTAAGAAGTTAAGAGAATAGGAGGCCACATTCATGAGTCTTTGCAGAGGTGTTACAGGTACCATAGGAGGGCAGGGACGTTAGCACTCTCCTGGTGACACTCCAAACTGGCTTAAAGCGAAAGAAAAAGGGATGGATCGGGGCGCCTGGGTGACTCAGTCGGCTAAGTGTCTGACTTTGGCTCAGGTCACGATCTCACAACTGGTGGGGTTTGAACCCCGTGTTGGGCTCCGTGCTGACAGCTCAGAGCCTGAAACCTGCTTGGGATTCTGTGTCTCCCTCTCTCTCTATGCCCCTCCCCTGCTCCCTCAGAAATAAATGAACATTAAAAATAAATAAATGAGAAAAGGAAAAGGGATGGATTCACTCCTGTATTGGAAACGATGAGGCATGGGATTTCAGGCACAGTTGGATGTGGGGCTGAAGTGCAATTGTCCAGAATCAGTTCCTATTCTTTCCTGTGACTACTTTCCTCCGTGTTCACGTCATTCTAAGGCACGGTCTCTCCTTATGGTAGCCAATGGTTTCTAGAAGCCCCGGCTGTATTCCCTACCAGTTTAGCAACCTCTGTAGAAATGGGCTACCTTGCTTCTGCAGCTTCTAGTAAAATCCCAGGGCTGATTTCCAGCACTCTGGTCAGGTGGCCTGAAATGTACTGACTGGCCAAGCTAGAATCAGCCTTGTCTACACCCCAGGGAAGGAGGAAGGAGAGTGGAGCAGGTAGAACGATATCCACTATGGTGGCAGACAGGAATGTAATGCCTCATTGCCTAGAAGGTGGGAAGCTGGGTTCCAAAGGACAAAGACTTAGACACCCAGATCCCCATCAGAAGGAAGGGATGGGGATTCCCAGATGGGGCAGCGGCGGCCACACCCTCAGCCTCTTACCAACCGCTTCCTCCAGCTACATCTTCCGGCCCAGCTGCACCCACCTGGGACGATGGGCCATTGGATACGTGAACTCGGACGGCAGCATCCTTCAGACGATTTCTCTCAACAAACCCCTGTTCCAAACACTCCTGGACGGACAGAAGGGAGGCTTGTGAGTCACCATCCTGGCAGGCGGAGGGTGTCCATGGAATGCACTTGCAAAGGTGGTGCATGTTGAACACTGCCCGAGGTCGCTCTGAGGGCACACAGTTCACCTGGGAGGGGGGCGGGGATTGTGTGGAAACATCATACATTTGCAATACCACAGTGTTCCAGTAGGTGGCAGACGAGGGTCCCGAGGAAGGGGCGCCTTTCCTAGTTGGTAGAAAGTTCCCGTGTCTGAGTTCTGACAAGTGCATGGGAATGGTCTCCAGTGGCTCCATTCCTTGGAATTCTGCTGAAAAGCTTTTGCTTCTAGTTAGTCACATCCTGTTCTAGAATCTAGACAGTTAAAGCAGAAAGAACACTGGGCCAGCAGCTAGACTGGTGTTTTCAACCTGTAACTTTGTCCCACAAGCCCTGGATCAGAAGCCACCTTGGGTAGGGGGGAGGGGCTCCTGGGTAGCTGAGACGGTTAAGCACAGGTCATGATCTCACAGTCCGTGAGTTCGAGCCCCCACGTAGGGCTCTGTGCTGACAATGTGCTGACAGCTCAGAGCCTGGAGCCCGCTTCCGATTCTGTGTCTCCCTCTCTCTCTGCCCCTTCCCTGCTTGCTCTCTGTTTCTCTCTCAAAAATAGTAAACATTAGGGGCACCTGGGTGGCTCAGTCAGTTAAGCGTCCGACTTCGGCTCAGGTCATGATCTGACAGTTTGTGGGTTCGAGCCCTGCATCAGGTTCTGTGCTGACAGCTCAGAGCCTGGAGCCTGCTTCTGATTCTGATTCTTCTCCCTCTCTGACCCCCCCCTGCTCATGCTGTCCCTCTCTCTCAGAAATAAATTTTTTTAAAAAACATTAACATTAAAGAAAATAAACATTAAAAACATTTTTTGAGAATATTAATTTTATTTTATTTTTATTTTTTTTACAAATAGTTTATTGTCAAATTAGTTTCTACATTTAAAAACATTTTTGGGGGGCGCCTAGGTGCTTTAGTCGGTTAAGCGTCCGACTTTCACTTAGGTCATGATCTCGCGGTTCGTGGGTTCGAGCCCCGCGTCGGGCTCTGTGCTAACAGCCAGCTCAGAGCCTGGAGCCTGTTTCAGTCTGTGTCTCCCTCTCTCTCTGACCCTCCCCTGCTCACACTGTCTCTTTCTCTCTCCTAGAAATAAATAAAAATTAAAAAAAATTTTTTTTTTAATTAAAAAAAAGAAGAAGCTACGTTGGGAAGGAGAGGTGGAGAAAAAAGGCAGGTGAGGTTCCAGGTCTTCTCCTGAACCTTTAGCCAGAGCTATCGTATTAGTCCTGTGTATATGATAAGATATGAGATAGATACGCAGTCAGTTCTCATTGGTTATAGCAGTTCGGTTCTATAAAGTTGCTGCAAACACTGGATTATTAAATACTGAACCATTGCTCGTAGGAGAAATACAGACTCAGTTTCCTGCAAGATTCTGCTCACCTTTTTTTTTAAGTAGGCTCCACACCCAATGTGGGGCTTGAATTCATGACCCAGAGATCAAGAGTCACATGCTGAACCTACTGAGCCAGCAGGGTGCCCCATCTGGTCACATTTTTGTCAATCAGTTGCTACTTATTGGTGACTAACAGTAACCTTTTCACATATCTGTGTCTAAACACACGTTTTTGAACATACAGTTGAGGGGCACCTGGGTGGCTCAGTCAGTTAAGCGTCCAACTTCGGCTCAGGTCATGATCTCATGGTTTGTGGGTTCAAGCCCCACGTCGGGCTCTGTGCTGACAGCTCAGAGCCTGGCTCCTGTTTCAGATTCTGTGTGTCCCTCTCTCTCTGACTCTTCCCTGCTCACGTTGTCTTCCTCTCTCAGAAATAAATAAAACGTTTTAAAAATTAAAAAAAATAGTAAGACTAGAAATTGGTCTCTCCAGCAGTCTGTGACCTAAGACACTTTTTTTAGTGGGTTTTTTTTTTTTAATGTTTTATTTATTTCTAGGAGAGAGAGAGAGAGACAGCGTGAGCAGGGGAGGGTCAGAGAGAGAGGGAGTCACAGACTCTGAAACAAGCTCCAGGCTCTGAGCCGGCAGTCAGCACAGAGCCCGACGCGGGGCTCGAACCCACGAACCGTGAGATCATGACCTAAGCGAAAGTCGGACACTTAACCGACTAAGCCACCCAGACGCCCCTTTAGTGTTTATTTTTGAGAGAGAGAGTGAGCAGGGGAGGGGCAGAGAGAGAGGGAGACAGAATCCCAAGCAGGCTCGGTGCTGTGGGCACAGAGCCTGACGCAGGAGTCGAACTCACAAACTGTGAGACCATGACCTGAGCCAAAACCGAGAGTAGGGTCCCTAACCAGCTGAGCCCCCCAGGCGCCCCAAAGATGCCCTTCTCCTTGGGCCCAAACACTCGAGGACGGGGGTTGGGGGGTGCTGCGGGAGGTCTGGGATGTAATCAGTTTCCTGACTCTCGTTGATCTGAGTTGTGTTTCCACTGAGGTCTAGCGTGCCGTTTCTTGGGGAGTCTGAGGGGACAGGGCCTGGCCCTGGGGGCTGAGGACTCACAGCCTGCCCCGGAGAGTCCCAGTTTGAGGAGAGGGAAGGGAAAAGATGCCCAGGCCAGGGACGGATCTGGGAGAGACGCTTCTCCGGAGGGCGCTGGGCCCGTGTCTGGGGTGAGGAGCGCTGGACGGCCCACGGTACCTCCATCTTCCCTTCACACAGCTTCCTCTACCCGGATGGGAAGAACCACAACCCAGACCTTACTGAGCTCTGCCAGCTAGAACCCCGTCAGCGCATCCATGTGTCACAGGTGAGCCCTAGGCCTGTCACTGGCCCTGCGTACTGTACCCCCCACACCGCCCCCCTGGGGTGCCTCAACCTGGGGTGTCTCTCCCTGAGACACTCAGGTTTAGAGTCCCAGAGGCCTTGGGTGTCTGTGCCTGCATGGCGGCCACATGACCTGGGGTCAGTCACTTGGACTCCGAGGGCTCTGTTCCCTCTCTGGAAAATACAGCGCCTCCTGCCTCCCCCCCTGGGGGGTTTTGTGGGAATTCAACCAGGAAATGATACTGCTGAGGTTATCAGAACGGCAAATGACCTTGAGCATTCACTGATAACCACAGGCGAGGGAGAAACAACACGGGAAATCTTTTAGGATAAGTATATCCCACACAGCACTTGGGATATACTTAGACCTCAAAATTGATTCGTCCTTTACCTGAAAATCAAATGTAACAGGTTATCCTGCATTTTTAGCTGGTCAGTCTGGCAGCCCCACCCATAGACTCTCCCTTCCCGCGTGAGGAACAAGTCTCATAAGAAAGTCCAGGGAGGAGGCCACTGGCCACACGGCCTTAGACTTAGGAAAGGGTTCGGGGCAAACACAGAAGTTCGGGACTCTCTTCCTTTTATTTTTCTTTTTCAATTTTTTTTAATGTTTTATTTATTTCTGAGAGAGAGATAGCGTGAGCAGGGGAGGGTCAGAGAGAGAGGGAGATACAGAACCTGAAGCAGGCTCCAGGCTCTGAGCTGTCAGCACAGAGCCCGATGTGGGGCTCGAACCCACGAACTGTAGGATCATGACCTGAGCTGAAGTCAGACGCTTAACCGACTGAGCCACCCGGGCGCCCCTCAGGACCCTCTTCCTGTGGCCCGACTTGGATCCCCATGGCTGACGCCGCCCCCCCCCCCTCCCCCCCCCCCCCACATTGTCTGGCCTCCTAGGAGCAGCTGAAGCTATATTGGGCCATGGACTCCAGGTTCGAGCTCTGCAAGATCTGTACCGAGAGGGACAAGGATGTGAAAATCGAGCCATGTGGACACCTGCTCTGTAGCAGCTGCCTGGACGCCTGGCAGGTGAGTCCGCCCGCCCCGTCTTCCTGCCCATTCTCCCCCCAACCTCCACCTTCATGGTAGAAGTCGCTAAAGGATCACGCCTCTCGGATCAGATGGAGAAACTGAGGCCCCGGGAGAGGCAGAGATTTGCTCAGGGTCACTTGGGAGCGATGACCAGGCGCCACCTGTCCGCATCTGTGTCTCTGTCTCCGGCTACGTTATTAGCAGAAAGGGCTCCTTGTTCCCCCGCTGGGTGAGCTGGGGGCAGTGGCTTCCCCTCCCTGAGCCTCAGCCACTTCCTCTCAAGAACGGGGCTGATAGCAGTCAGCTCCCAAGAGCCCTAGTGAGGGTCCAAGCCCTTGGGGAAGTAGGGCTGTTGCCCCTGTGTGTCGCAGGTGCCTGACACGAAGCTCTGTGACCATAATGGGAGTGTTGGACAAGCTTTGGAGGCTGAGCCATGCGTTTCCAACACGCGCACTTTCTGCTGTAGGATGCAGTTCCCAGCACCATGACCGAATAAGGAAACCGGCCACCCCACATGAAGTTCCCCTTTAGAAAACCCGGGTGGTGGGGAGGGGCGCCTGGGTGGCTCAGTCGGTTAAGCCTCTGACTTCGGCTCGGTCATGATCTCACAGTTCGTGGGTTCGAGCCTCGTGTGCCTGTGAGTGTTCAGCCTTGATCTTCAGAGCTCACTGGTGGTTGTTGGGGAGGTGCGTCCTATGATCCTCAGAACCACAGGGACTCACCACAATTAGCATGGGCCCCGGCCAGGGTCTCAGGCACTCCTAGAGGACAGCAGGGAAGGCTGAGACCCCACCCTGGCCCTGCTGGGCTGCCTGCTTATGCGCCCCTCCTGCCCCCCTTCCCGTCCTGCACTTCCGGCCCCTCTCTTCCTGACTCCTCTCCCTGTGTCTGTTTCTCTCCATCTGTCCTCAGCAGCTCACTCTGTTGCAGGGGAAGGGCCTTGTGGTCCTAAGGGACAAGATGGGGGACAGGGAGACCCTGACCCTGTGTCCCTTCCCACACACCCCACCCCCCAGCACCCTGATAGCCAGACGTGCCCCTTCTGCCGCGGCGAGATCAAAGGCCAAGTGGCCGTGAGTATCCATCCAATTCAAGGGAAGCCAGAGGAGGCCACGGCCACTGCTGAGTTCCTGAGGGACACCAGTAACCAGGAAGATGGGGAGGAGCTGGGGCAGGTGAGCTGGGCCAGGCAGGGGCTGGGCCTGGACCCCTGAGTCTGAGGGAGGAGGGGCTGGGGGCCTGGACCCCTGGGTCTGAGAGCGGAGGCTGGGGGCCCTGGACCCCTGGGTCTGAGGGAGGAGGGGCTGGGGGCCTGGTCTCCTGGGTCTGAGGGAGGAGGCTGGGGGCAGGACTCCTGGGTCTGAGGGAGGAGGGGCTGGGGGCCTGGACTCCTGGGTCTGAGGGAGGAGGCTGGGGGCAGGACTCCCAGGTCTGAGGGAGGAGGGGCTGGGGGCAGGACTCTGGGTCCCAGGGGCCTGCACTTTGCTTCCCCACGGGTCTGGGGCACTGGCTTACTGTAACTCCCCTGAGTTTTGGAGCTGCCGTATTCCCTGTCATGTCTCCAAAGCCTGGAAGATGCTGTAAAGCTGGGATTCTAGCAGAAGGACCTGTAGGTGGGAAGAAGGGGCGGCTTACAATCCCCTGCCCACCCTCCCTCTCTCCTAGGTGGCTTCCTCCGATCCCCCTCGGCTGAATGCATCCTCAGCTAAAGGCTGGCTGAAAGTGGTATGTCCGGCACTGGTCTGAGGTGGGCGGCCCAAGTCCTATTCAGCCCCGGGGTCCCTCAGGGGCACCAGGCCCAGCATTCCCCCTTTGCACCCTCGGACAAGATGCTGGGCCATCTGGCACCCACCAGATGTGCCCTCTTGTTCACTTTCTCACTTGACCGCTCGCCAGCTTTCTGGCTCTCCTTCCACCATCCCAGGCCTGTCTTACCCCAGGGCCTTTGCACGAGCTGTCCCGTCTGCCCGGATCTCCTGTCCCCCAGGCTCGCTTTCTCATCTCCTCCCCAGGGTGGCCTTCCCCAGCCACCCCATTTTATTGAAAAGAGCACCCCCATCCCTCGCAGCCCCCTCCCTGCTGATTTTCATAGTTCCTTTCACCGCCTGGCAGCGTGTACAATCTATTTTCTGTCACCGTCAGCCGGCCGTAGCCCTCCTGAAGGTTAGGACTTCATCTTCTCCATTGGATCTCCAGAGTCTAGAACAGTGCCTGACATGTAGTAGGTGTTCAATAGATAGACTCCATCAAACAGAGTCTCCCCAGCAGTCCTGGGAAGTAAAAAAAAGGTGAAGAAATGTTCCCTTCCTCATTTTCCAGAGGGAAAAAGCTCAGAGAGGTGACTGCACCTGCCAGAATTTCACAGCCTGATACAAGGGAATCTGGTGTTGGGGGCAGGGGGGGTGCTTAGAGACCCCTAACATTACCTGCTTCTAAGCAAGCCTCAGCCTTCCTGGTCCTCCCCACCCCGTACTCCCCACCCCAGGATTTTCTGAGATCCCGGGCTGCTGGGCAGGGCCCCGTCTGTGTTAGGCTGAGTCCACACAAGATTCAATCAATACCGAGGCATCTTCAAACAAACAGCTCAGGAAGTCCGGGAACATTATTTTGACCGCAGCAAACAAGTGAGCCAGCAGGAAGGGGGGGTGGCGGTGACACCAGCCAGGGCAGCTAAAAACAGATCCAGACCTGCAGCCAAAGGCAAATGGAAACATTAGGAGGCACTCAGCCGGCTCCCTGAGGACAATGGGGGCGGGGGACGCAGCCAGAACGGCAGGCTGGGGGGTGGGAGGGACAGCTCCGGCCCCAGGGGCACACCTTTGCCCAGGCTGTGCCCTCTGCCTGGTGTGCTCTTTCCTCTTCTCCCCAAACCCTGCCTGATTCAAATTCCAGTCGACTCCTACTCCTTCATTCTTCAAAACACGCTGCAAGAGGGATGGACCCCGGGGGGGTGCGGCTTCCCAGCAAAGTGAGCACGGTTAACGTGCGTTCTGAATTGCTGCGCACCTGGCACTGCTTTTCATATATTAATTTGACGGTCACGAAGGCCCCGTGTGGTCGGTACTGTCGTGATCACTACTGAGACTTGGAGACGTGGGGGCCATCGGCTCAAAACGAGAGTCAGGAATGGATCCCAGGCCCCTGGCTCGAAACTCCAGACTCCACTCCTGGGGCCTCTATTCCCTTGTCTGTGAAACGGGCGTCATGGCAGTCCCTGCCACACGGGGGTGGGGGCCGCCGTGGGCCCTGGGCAAAGGGGGGGCCTGTGTTAATGGCCAGTGTCAATGTGGTTGTGGTTTGCGTGTGCTGCTGTTCTCCACCTGAGAAACCCGCCCCAAGGCAGCAAGACCGTCATTCAGCGGGACCCTGGCACCTTGCTGGCCACTGGGGACCTCCCCCACCCTCACTGTCCCCATGTGGAGAATGGTAGCCTGGTATGGGCCCCGCAAGTTCTGATGAAGTCAGCAAGACTGAGTGATGTAACCTGAGTCAGACCCCTCCCTAACCTCTCAGAAGCCCCCACTCGTTCCCCAGGGCTCCAGGAAAAAGCCAGCATAGTCTCCACCTCTCTGACCTCCTGCATCCCCCTCCCCCAACTCCTTTTCAGCAACAGTGAAGCACTGCTGTTCTCCTAAGAGGCTGTAAGCCCACCACTCGCCTCGGAAGTCTGCCTCCATCCTTCTCACACTCCGCCTCCCTGTTCACTTGCCCCTCCTTCCAAGAGGTTCCCCCAGGCACTCTCCCCAGGCCTAGTCCAGTTCCCTGAAGGGCACTTCATACTCTCTGGGCATTTCCGTGTTCGCACACTGATTACTCATGGTGAGTCTCTTGCTCAGTAGTTCGTCAGCTGCATGAGGACAGAGATTTTTGTCTGCCTGGTTCATGGCTATCTCTTCAGAGCCTAGAATGGTGCCTGGCCTCACACTCTAGATGCTCAGGGAATGCTTGTGGGGTGGGTGGATGGATGGATGGATGGATGGATGGATGGACAGATGGACAGACAGTTGGGTGAGCGGAAGGATGGAGGGAGGGAGGTATGGATGGATGGATAGATGGATGGATGGACGGACGGACGGACAGACAGATGGGTGAGTGGAAGGATGGATGGACAGGTGGACAGATGAGTGGAAGGATGGATGGATGGATGGACGGACGGACAGATGGACAGACAGACAAGTGAGTGGAAGGATGGATGGACGGATGGATGGACAGACAGTTGGGTGAGTGGAAGGATGGAGGGAGGGAGGTATGGATGGATGGATAGATGGATGGATGGACGGACAGACGGACGGACAGATGGGTGAGTGGAAGGATGGATGGACAGGTAGACAAACAGATGAGTGGGAGGATGGAGGGAGGGATGGATGGATGGATGGATGGACAGACGGACAGACAGACAGGTGAGTGGAAGTATAGATGGATGGAGGGAGGGATGGATGGACGGACGGACGGACAGACAGATGGGTGAGTGGAAGGATGGATGGACAGGTGGACAGATGAGTGGAAGGATGGATGGATGGATGGACGGACGGACAGATGGACAGACAGACAAGTGAGTGGAAGGATGGATGGACGGATGGATGGACAGACAGTTGGGTGAGTGGAAGGATGGAGGGAGGGAGGTATGGATGGATGGATAGATGGATGGATGGACGGACAGACGGACGGACAGATGGGTGAGTGGAAGGATGGATGGACAGGTAGACAAACAGATGAGTGGGAGGATGGAGGGAGGGATGGATGGATGGATGGATGGACAGACGGACAGACAGACAGGTGAGTGGAAGTATAGATGGATGGAGGGAGGGATGGATGCACGGACGGACTGATGGGTGAGTGAAAGGATGGATGGATGGATGGATGGATGGATGGATGGATGGATGGATGGATGGACGGATGGATGAATGGATGGACAGATGGATGGATGGATGGATGGATGGATGGATGGATGGATGGACGGATGAGTGGAAGGATGGATGGATGGACAGATGGACAGACAAAACTTCCTACTCAAGCCAGAGGTGCTAGGGGAAAAGACAGCATGGACAAGAACGAGACCTGTACTGTCCCTCCCCCCTCCTCACCCCAGCCACTCACCTGTTACGACTCTCTGGGCCTTTCTCTGGGCCTCACTTTCTGGGTAAAATGAAAGCTGGCGCTCAGCTGTGACATTGAATCTCCTCCCCTCCAGGCACCTCTGGCCCTTCCCAGACTTCAGAGCCCTCTTCCCTTGCCAAGAATTAAGATTGCGGCCTTAGTCCCATGGGACATCTCCTCCAACCCTCAGGCCAGGGAAGGAGCCACAGGGTAAGTGGAGAGGCAGTGGGGTCCGGGGCTCCCAGGTCGGGGGGAAGACGGGATGGGGGCAGAACGGAAACACTGGTCCCGGGAAGTCAACAGCCCCTCTTCAAACTCTCTTCACTACAGAAACTCCTAAAAGAAAAGTCACCCCTCTGGCTGCCCCCATGGGGCCCGTGATTGCTGCCCAGGCACAGGGGCCGGTGAGTCTACCCCACCCCAGCGCTGGCCAGCCCCCCTCCCTTGGCCTGGCCCTGCCCTGCTCCCCAGCCCGGCTGTGATACTAGTAACCCACGTCTCTTTCAGCCTTGCAGGCCACCAGATGTGCTGCTGAAGGGAGTCCCAGGGGCTGCAAGGGGTTTGTGAATAATAAACTGCCAAGCCTGGTCTGTTCTCTGATGTGTGCAGAAACCACAGCAGCCACCAGGGGGCGGCTTGACATTGGGAACAGGTGGTCCCTGAGGCCTGATGGCCACCTGATGAATCCAGGGGTCTGGAGGGGTGATGGTGGGGAACCCAGCTCTTCTGGATTCAGGAGTAAAGGCCCCTAGCCTCCTCCCTCAGACCCAGGAGGCTTCACTTCCAGCCCCTCCTCCGCCAGACCCAGGAGTCTGGGCCCCCAGCCCCTTCCTCCCTCAGACCCAGGGGTCCAGCGTTCCAAGTTTCAGAGAATCAGGCAGCAACCCCCTTTCTCCATTAATGAAAAAAAAAGTTCCTGGACCCAAACCCAGATATCCAAGTGCTAAGTCCCTAGTTAAAAAGATCTCTCGTTTCTCTAAGAGTTACACACCCAGCCTTGCACAGTGTTCGGGACCCACTCTTTCTTCCGTCCCTCCCTGGATTCTTCTCCAGAGTAACACTGACCCCCAGTCCAACTCAGACTGAAGAAGTCTCCCCAGCTCCTCAGTAATCTTGGAGGGGCCCAAGCCTCCCTCCACTTGGGTTTAAACCCTGAGCCCTACCCTGCGCCCAGCTCAGGGGCATGTAGCAGTAATCACTACCCCACCCCCATCCCCGGCCACTCACAGTCCAGTGGGGGACAGACAGTGACACCCCAGAGTGGGCAGGGCTGGGATGGGGGGAAAGCATGACCCTATGGGAGCCCAGAGCAGGTAACTGACCCAGCCTGGAAGTCAGGGAGGGCTTCCAGGAGGAGACATCCAAGCTGGGACTGTAAAGATGTGGCAAAGGTGTCCCAGTGCAAAGGGAACAGGGAAGCACCCACCACAGATGCGTTCCAAGCAACAGAAGCTGCCTCGGGGACAGAGAGGGAATTTCCTGAGCAGACTCGGGACCTCATGTCTCACAGAATCCCAGGAGCGAGGAGAACGTGGAGAGGGAAGTGGAAGGGAACAGAAGCACCGGCAACCGGCCCCAACTCTAGTCTGGCCACGATCGCGCCACAGAGCAGGTCTGGTGAGGATGCGCTGGTGCCCCGATGGCCACCGGCCACCAGCCCCAGAAACAGGCCGGGGCCGCTCTTAGGAGCTGTGGCTCAGAATAAATCACAGCAAAACTCAGTGGGGAACAGCCACGTTCCGGAATCTCTGCTGGACCGGCGTTCTGGGAAGGGCGTGGCCGCGCGGTTCTGGGCCGGGCATCTGGGGGCTGGACACGCGTCTGCAGCCTCACCGCTCGGTGTGGTCCCCAGTCTGCTAGTTCGGGCTGTCCCGCACGCGGGTCACCTAAGGCAGCCTGACTGCTTGCGTGGTGGCTGGAGGCTGGATGGGGGGGGGGGGGGATGTCCTAGGGACCCAGGCAGAGGCGGCTCAGCCTCTTCTCCCTAATCCTGGGAATCCTGCACCATCACCTCTGCCACGTTCCCATCTTCACACGTGCGTCCCCGAACTGCACAGATGTGAGAGGATGTTAAAGGTGTTAGGAAGAGTGTGTGACCCTTGGCCTCAGGGTTGGGAGTTCGACCCCCACATTGGGTGTAAAGATTACCTAAAAATAAATAGATAGAGGGGTGCCTGGGTGGCTCAGTCGGTTAAGCGTCCAACTTCGGCTCAAGTCATGATCTCACAGTTCGTGGGTTCAAGCCCCGCGTCGGGCTCTGTGCTGACAGCCAGCTCGGAGCCTGGAGCCTGTTTTGGATTCTGTGTCTCCCTCTCTCTCTGACCCTCCCCTGCTCATGCTGTCTCTCTCTCTCTCTCTCAGAAATAAATAAAAACATTAAAAAAAAAAAAAAAGAAAACTTTTTTAAGTTCGTATCTAAACTTGGTCTGCACTACTAACCTCGTGGTCCAACCCCAAATGCATTCCCAGGGACCTCCAAGGCAACAGGCTTCCAATACTTACGTTTTCCAGATGCAAATCTGGAATGACTTGGGACTCCCCATTCCCCTCCAAATGTATCATGATCCCGTATTCCACAAGCTGTGAACTCGTTTTATTTATTTAGGTATTTATTTTGACATTTATTTATTATTGAGAAGCAGAGAGAGACAGCGTGAGCAGGATCAGGGGAGGGGCAGAAAGAGGGGGAGACACAATCCGAAACAGGCTCCAGGCTCTGAGCTAGCTGTCAGCACAGAGCCTGACACGGGGCTCGAACCCACAAACCGTGAGATCATGACCTGAGCCGAAGTCAGACGCTCAACCGACAGCCACCCAGGCGCCCCGTGAACTTGTTTTAAAATTGACCATCAAGCACTGTGTGTAAAGTAACGGGTACACTAGTCCCTCTTATCCACAAGGGGGACGTTCCCAGACTCCCCCTGGATGCCTGAAAACACTGACGGTATCAAACCCTAGCTATACTTTATTTTTTTGTTTTTATGCGTGTGTGTGGTTTTTTTTAATGTTTACTTTTGAGAGAGAGACAGAGACAGAGCAGGAGCAGGGGAGGGGCAGAGAGAGAAGGAGACACAGAATGGGAAGCAGGCTCCAGGCTCCGAGCTGTCAGCACAGAGCCGGACGCAGGGCTTGAACTCACAAAGCGTGAGATCATGACCTGAGCCGACCCAGGCGCCCCTATACTTTCTTTTTTCCAACTAGAGACTTAGTGCTTGGATGTCTAGACATACCTGCGATAAAGCTCAATTTAAGAGTGAAGTACCAGGGGCGCCTGGGTGGCTTAGTCGGTTAAGCGTCCGACTTTCGCTTAGGTCATGATCTCGCGGTTAGTGGGTTCGAGCCCCGCGTCGGGCTCTGTGCTGACTGCCAGCTCAGAGCCTGGAGCCTGTTTCAGTCTGTGACTCCCTCTCTCTCTGACCCACCCATGCTCACGCTGTCTCTCTCTCTCTCCTAGAAATAAATA